ACTTTGAGTCAGTAGAGGTTCTAGAAAGAGAAACTAACTACAAGAAACGTCTTTTCCTAGAAATGGCTTGTATAGCACAAACAGAAAACAACATCAATAAAAAAACAGACATTAACCATCTCAGTGAAATTTATTCCTTTCTTCTAACAGTAGACAAACAACATATGAAATTCAACAATTCAATAGTTTCCATTTTAGAATAAATTTAACTCTAGTTTATCACATAGTTTAACAATAGACTCTTAAAGTAAAAGAATCATACAGCACTTTATCAATTTACAATAATTAACATTTCATATCAAAACTTAAATATAACAGTACTTTATTAATCTTCAACCTTTACAAAATAACTAGGTGTTGGAATCAACCAAAATCTATTTATTACACTCTTGTTACCATGATCTTCAATCATGTTAACAATTTAAAATTTTACTTAAAATATCTCCTACCTTAGATTCTATTCTAATACAGGTACAGACAACCAATACGACAAGGGCCACTAAAGTCTCCCCTCTACTTTGACCATCTAAGAGAGAAGAAGATTTTAGAGGTTAGTGTCTTCCAACCTACAATCAACCACGTTGTTTCACTTTACATGACACTCTGTACAGTTTAATAAGAAATAAGAATTTATAAGATGTAAAACTCTCGAGAGAGGACATTCGGTCCTACACACAATTAGTTGAAATTGTGCATTGTCTTTGTACCAGTCTTAGTGAATTTTAACATTACATGTTTTTTCTGTTTTTCTTTTGTGAGAAAAAAACTTATACAATTTTTCTCACAAAATTTTATAAATTTGACCAGCTTTTACGGCACCATTCTCAAAATCGTAAGTAAGATCAACGTATTTATAGCAGATTGTCAATTTTCATGTAAACTAATTGTAGCTTATCCCTGATGATGTTGATAACTATCAACGAAATATTGGATCAATAAAGGACTAAAGAGTACACTTAGCCTATCCTTTCAGCTGTTTTTACCCAAAGAGTCTAACTTGGTTTTACATATATATATATATATATATATATATTATATATATATATATATATATATATATATATATATATATATATATATATATATATATATATATATATATATATATATATATATATATATATATATATATATATATATATATATATATATATATATATATCCTACACCCATTTACCCTAAGTTACCAGGTGTAATGTCTTTAGTTAGTTGCATGGACAATTTTTCTCCATTGCTTCTTATTCTTTGCTTGGCGTCTTGCTTGTTCTTTTCTGATTCCTCGGGTATCTAGGATTGAGGTTACATTATCATCCCATGTCTTCATTGGCCTGCCCCTTGGTCTCTTGGTTTGTCTTCTGGCTTCCCATACTTTTTTAGCTGCTTTTTCTTGATTCATTCTAACCATGTGTTCGTACCATCTTAGTTGAGCCTCATCAATTTTCTTAATAATTGATTGGACCTTAAGATGTTCTCTGACTGCCTCATTTCTAATCCTGTCTAACCTGGTTATACCCATTATCCTTCTAATAAACTTAATTTCTATGCTCTGTATTTTCGATTTTAATTTATCGGTAAGCGTCCAACTTTCACTACCAAAAGTTAAAATCGGCACAAACACTGTCTTGTATATGGTCACTTTGGCTTTTTAAGATACTTCTTTTTTTAACAAAAACGTACTTTTAATTGCGTGGTACATCCGAGCAGCACTTTCTATTCTGGAACTTATTTCAGTTTCTTCAGTTCCTCTGTTCTCTATTTGTACTCCCAAGTATTTGTAAGTATCGACTTGTTCAAGTATATTTCCGTTAAGTATTATCTTCGTTTGTTTTCTATTTTTTTCACATATCATTACTTTCGTCTTCTCATTATTGATCCCATATATACTTATAATAGCTTGCCTGAATTTGATTGTCACACCTTTCTTTTTAAACATATGTCAATCATCTTCCATGGAGTACTATCAAATGCATTTTCTAAATCTATAAATTCTTGGTATAACTCAGTGCTTGAGTTCCGTGCATTTTGTATTAGTTTCTTGATAGTAAAAATGTGATCTTGGATACTTCTGCCTTTTCAATCCACTCTGTGATTGTTCCATTTTAGAATCGACTTCTTGTAAAAGACGTTTTTCTAGTACTCTCTCATATACTATGGAATGCGATGCTCAGTAGTGTTATTCCTCTGTAGTTACTACATTCGCGTCTGTCTCTCTTTGTGAAAATGGGCAGAATAACTCCCACTTCACAATCTTTTGGTATTTGGCTCTCACTTAATACCCTATTACATATTTTTGTTAACAGTTCAATGCCCTTGTCGCCCATGTTTTTCATCATTTCCGCTGTGATTTTATCGAATCCAGCCGCCTTACCTTTCTTAAGCTATTGTATGATTTCTTTTGTTTGTGCTATAGTTATTTCATCTTGAATTTGGTCTTCTTGCTCTACCCCTTCCGATTATTCTGTGATAATGTCTACATCGTTTTAGAATATTCAGTAGATCG